TAACTTTGTTACGCAGAAATACAACAATTGTCATCATAAATCTTTTAGCATACTACAAAAGACAGTATTCTGTTGTATAATAATTACAGGAAAACAGGGTAAACTCCGCTTACAATTTGAGTGTAAGACGCGATTCCCTTTGGGCGGAATTCACGCCGACACCAAATTGCTTGAGTTCAATGTCGACAGCAAATCGCTTTGTTTCTTTAGAAACCCACCGTGTTATCAAAGACCTAATAGAATTGCTTTTTTCACACCTTTTCACGTTAAATTGTTGGTAATGGTTTGATTCGTTGGGTTGATTATGAGCTTATTTCGTCCGATGTCTGTGTTAGTGTTAAATGTAATAAAAATGAAAAGAAAACCTTTAGTATTTTTCGATAACTATTTTTTCTTTTATTACTTTATTCGCTACTGGCCGCAACGGCTTGTGGTCATGCTTAAGTAATGTGGTTGAACTAGAGATTATCCAGGCTTCTACATATAAGAGTGTTAATAGTATAGTTAGTATTAAGAGTAACAGTACCTATTTAATTTTATTTCAAGGAATTGGACCTTGAAAACCGCAATACACAAGTAAAATCTATGAAGCGCCTTATAAAAATTTCACCGCAATTTAGTAATCTATATGGCAATGTTTGTATGTAATCAAACATTATATTCCTAAGTATAATTAATTAATTAATTATACATCATTTACGTTCAGCTCAATTTCTTTGCTACCCTTTTTTATGGAATAAACCCGTAAACGAGGAGACGGATCACCTGATGGTAAGTAATCGGCGCCGCCCATGGACTCCCGAAACACCAGAGGTGTTACTAGATTGTTACCAGCCGTTTGAGGATTAGGAATTTGAGGAGTAATAAGGATTAGGGCTGGGCTCGCTGCCATTGCAGCGGTAAGTCCCCTCTTTGAGGAGTGGCTTGAGAGACGCTACGGCGTCCTCACCTACCGCCTGACGCAGGTCCTCACCGGACATGGAAGTTTCGGGAGGTACCTGTGTCTGATGGGGCGGGAGGAAACGCCCGGGTGTCATCACTGCGAGGACCGCCCTGAGGACACGGTGGAACACACCGTAGCGGAATGCCCTGCGTGGGCTGAGCACCGCCGTGCCCTCAGGGAAGTGATCGGCGATGGCGACCTCTCGCGTCCGGGCCTAGTGCAGGCCATGATGCGGAGCGAGGGGGACTGGGATGCCGTCTCCTCCTTTTGCGAAGCAGTCATGCTAGCTAAGGAGGAGGCGGGACGCGTGAGGCAGCGAAGCGCTGCCTCCTCGCGACCCAGCCATCGCGAAGGACACACCGGGCGTCGGGGATCGCGGGACGATCTCCGGCCACCGTAAGCGCGGGCCTGCGGACGGCGAGCATGGGTGGCTCCCCGTCCGACCAGAAACAGACCCGAGCGTACGGCGCGTCGCGTTCCGCGCGCGCCTCAAAGAGCCATCAGACCACCACAGATGGGGCCCAATAGGGCCGATGCCGATTCGGAGTCGCGGAGAACTTAACGGGTAACCGGGGCTCCGGCTCGACGTGCAGGAGAAGGAACGGGGTGGTTTTTAGTCAGTAAGAGTCTGACACTCCCTTCCGCCTCACCCAGGCGGGAGCAGTCATTCGATGATTTTCCCCCCTTAAAAAAAAAAAAAAAAAAAAATGGCTGTCTCGCACTTTAAATGGATATACTTAATTTATAGCTGTGTAAGTTGGTTAATAAAGGCAATAACCACAACTGAAAATCATAATTACTCCATTACCTATGAATGTATCGTATCATAAATAAGTCCATAAAACATCATAATAAACTATAATAATGTTTCTCAACTAAACAACTCAGTTGAAGAGTTTACACCTGTGGTTTACACCCAATAAAATGAGCCGTTAATTACATCGCAATCAACAACATTGTCTAGGACTTCAAAGTGAATGGGAGTCCGCCACGAACAAACGACGCATAGATTAGATTTGCCTTTATGAACTGGCAAGGCGCTAGGTGTTAGATAATTAGATATATTATTATGGACTTACGTGTTTTTATGTTTTATCTACTTGTATATTTATTTCAAGCGTTACTTAGTATAACGTCTTGCTTTTTAATCTTCTAAAGGGCTAATCTTTCCTTTGAACTATCAAGTAGTGGCGGTTTGGTAGGACGTAGAAAGTAAAAGCAACTTTTCACTAATAATTCATTCAAGTCTTATGCAATCGCAGATACATATATCTTGACTCCGTGCTTCTAGGAGAATTTTATAGAAGCTGAAAAAGGTAAATAAACTTTACCCAATCCGAGAACTGAAATCGCGAACCCTTGCTCAAATATCACGCTAATTGTTTTTATATATCGGCCGATATATAAAAACAATTATTGTCAACGCACACCATCAACATTCCTATGCCACTTAATAAAGGAATCTTTATGCCAACGCAAAGGGAGCGTTTTAGGGCTAAATACGAGCACATTAACAGTATTAGATGGCACCTTCGGAACGTTATACAGAAGGTGCAGACGTGTGAGGGTTGGCGCAAGATGTAGCGAAGTGGTTCTGTACCTAATTTGCCACCTGCGTCAACGACCATCACTATTGCTTAATGATCTGTCTGCTTCCTCTTCTTATAATGGAACGGTTTGACCATATTTTGAGAGGGTTTATTTAGGTTTTAATTTTCCGTTCACGTCCTCATTCGCGTAGTCATAGGAAAAAAATATAGCGTTTTTCAGTCTCTGGCCAATTTATTCTTTCCAGAGTCTAGACACAAAAGTCATGCTATGCACACTTTCGCATTTTTCCTACGAATGTATTGTGTGATTGTGGAACACCCAATTCCTTTCTATCCTTTAAATTCTAAATTCTTTTTTCTTTATTCTTTCATTTTTTAAAACGTTTCCCAGCACTTTTTTTGGCGGGAAAATCATCCAATTACTTCTCTTTTTTGAACTAGAGCCGGACGAAAGAGATCGCCGTCACCGATCACATTCCTGAAGACACGGCGGTGCTCAGCCCACACAGAGCACACCGCCACCGTGTGCTCCACCGTATTCTCCGGGGCAGTGATGACACCCGGGCATTTCTCCCGCCCAGTCCGAAACAGGAACCTACTGAAACTCCCGTGTCCGGTAAGCACCTGCGTCAGGCGGTAGGTGAGGACGCCGTAGCGTCTCATAAGTCACTCCTGAAAGAGGGGACTTACCGCTGCAATGACAGCGAGCCCAATGTTTCCCCACACTAAGATTTTCTTCTGTGTCGTGGGTACATATACAAACATACAAGTTCACATACACATAAAACAGACCCGGAACAACAATCGGTGGATCTAGCAACCGCGTCAACCGTGCTGTCAAGAAGTGAAATGGAGCAAGTGAAATTAATGCTTATCATAAACTTAAGGTTTGCAAAGCATGAAGTACTTAATTTCATTTTACCTTTTCGACTGTATTAAGTACTTCACTTTCAAATTCTAAAACCAAAGTCATGTAATGAAAGTAAAACCTAAACAAGAACATAATTTCACAACACAAAACGATGTACAAACATTTTATTTGATGTATCCAACAAAACAGAACACGGCAACATTATGTGTCGTCACTAAACGCTGGTAATATTGGTAATCGTAAAAGTAACGTTGCAGGCCTATAAATGTTCTGTAACAACCTATATAGGAACTCTCGGATGTCGGTAATAGACTGCAGTAACCCACAAACACCATTAACATCCTTACATAAAAAAGTATCTACAGACATATAACAGTCAGTCGGTATTTTTTTTTTTTTTTAGTGGTGAAAATCATCGTATGACTTCTCCCGCCTGCGTGAGGCGGGAGGGAGTGTCAGACTCTTACTGACTAAAAACCACCCCGTTCCTTCTCCTGCACGTCGAACCGGAGACCCGGTAACCCGTTAGGTTCTCCGCGACAGTCAGTCGGTATAACGTTTGATTGAGATGTGAATATAAAACATTACATTTGAAGGTTTTTCTTGCGTAAAAATTATAACATTTTTCGATCAGAATCATTTAAAACCTCTTTTACAACTGTATACTTATATCCAATGACTGAAAATAAAAAAAATATCAGGTGTCTATTTTTTAATTGCATTTAAAATCGGTTAACAGATTGACATAAATCGTGGAATTGGTAGACAATACTGGCATTGTAAATACATACTGATAAATAAAATTTGTGTCTGTTTGTAATATTAAAATAACCGCTTTTTATTACATGTAAATGAATATACATTAAAATATATACGAATACGATATACGTACTTAAATAACATTTTTACAATTTTTGTCTGTCCATCTGTCTATTTGTAATGTTTAATCTCTGGAATAGGTAGACCGATTTTGCAAGACTTTTATTGGTAGGTAGCTATTAATAGTAGCTACTAATATATATTGCTTATTCTATGTTACTTTTATTTTAGAAAATTGAAACAAAAGAGTTATGTTGTAAAATTCATATTCTACGCGGACGAAATCGCGGGCCACAGCTAGTAAATCATATGAAACATGTGTAGTATGTATACAATAAACTCTTAGGTACTTAAAAAACGAAACTTCCAACCAATTAACTGAAAACCACACAGGAATTCGTAACAAATGAATAACGAATAATTACTTCAGTAATTATTATCTACATCAGGAGATAGATGTTCATTCCCTATTGGCGAGCAGTTTCCGGTCCCCTAGTTGATTTTAATTAAAATCATCGTCTATTCACCTAAACTCAATGAATTTTGAATTTGTAGTAAATGAGTAAATGAATACGTGTATCAGAAAATTAGACCTCATTGCCAGTTTTTCCCAGTCTATTTTGATGCCAGCATCCTCTGATGGGTATAAAAAAATAAGTTTCAATAAACATATTTGTATTAGCATAATACAGTCTCCAATAATATTATTGCATTGCACAATTTAACATCTTGGGTCTTCGTGAATAATTTGTGTTAATAAAACGTTCAAATTAATAGATTTAAGTGAATAACGGTTCTCCACCAATAACCCCAGATTCTATTTCGCAGTGATTTTCTCCACGCAGTATTTTAAAGAATCCCTTGTTCCCCAATTAGGATTCCACGAATTTGCGACGAGCCAGTACTTAACGCCGTTTTCAACTCCCCAGCCCAACATCTTGACAGCATGGCGGCCAGCGAACGGTGCATCTGTATGTACATAAACTCCTTCTTTGTAATTAAAGAAATCTGTATATACGACAAAGGACACTTCTAAAGGCCCATTTTTTAACAATTCGGTTTTTATACTCTCCTCATTAGAATCTACACTGTATACTGTCTTACCACGACGCTTATCTTTTTCATAATCTGTATTGTAACCAGTATTGCATGTTTTATTACAAGAAGGAGTGGGAAGAATGTTACCACACGGCGGCAGTGGTCCAACTGCATGATGCTCACAGGCCGGTATCTCGTAGGGTTTGCATCCTTCACTCGAATTATAATTCCCTCCAGATACAATACCATTACTCTCCCAATAGTACCAAGCTGCTGAAGGGTAACCCCCGTTACAGCCACTACCGCAAATATCACAACAAGTAAGAAGATCCTGAGCAGAGAAATGGAAATGTTGTTTTCCATCAGAATATATACAGTACCTATCAGTCATCGCCTCCACAGCACCGAACGCCCAACAACTGCCACATGAGCCTTGATCTCTTACTTCATTCAAGGAAGGACAGTTGGGCCATTTTTCCCTCGAGTCAAAGCTCTCTGGAAGATTACTACGAGTTTCTATATCGTCGAGATGGTCCACTTTCCTTAAATTATGGAAATTTTTGTCTTCCAAAGCACCAAGCAAATTCTTAAGGTATGAAATTGGTGTGTTCTTCGGGAAGTTCCTGCCGGCGCTCCAAAAGTTTTGTTTGGAATTGATTAAATCAATAAATTCGTCGGATAATGGATGCAAGTTCTGGTTGCCGTTGACTGCAACAAGAGCAAACAGTACACCAAATACTGCGCAAAATCTGGCCATTTTTGACGAAAACTCAATTACTGTACTCCTTTAAGTTACAGCCAAGAGTTTATATATCCCATGATTATCGTACAACTATTCCATTTATTACAATATAATTTTAACTGCCTTCTTTACATAATAGTAGATAAAAAACATATTTTTAATATTTTAAATTACATTTTCTTGATATTTTACCTTGGCTCAACATTTTTCTTACATTTTAGGTAGATAATGCGTTTGTATTGTATGTAGTTAGAAAAAGTATGCTATTTGTAATATCCACATTATCAATTATTCTCATAAATAGGTTTATCACATAGGTAACTAGACTTTTCTTGAGATCAAACTACACAATAATAACGATTTCACAGAAATGATCTTCATTGATTATTATATACTTTCACGACCTGTTGATGATTATCCATATCTATACATACAGCTGAGATCTGCTGATGGTTCTTCATCAGATGAAGAAAAAATGCGAAACTTTGCTTTCGAATAACTTTGGAACTAAATGACCTACATACCTATATTTTAGAATTTTAAGTATGTGTTTATAGTTAAATCGGTGATGAATTTCTGCGTTCTGGTCTTATCAAGAGGTTCTCAATTAGGGGCCTGAAAATGCGGCAAAGTGGTTTCAGTTGAGGATGGTACGGCAGTGTTTGCTTCGCGCGTAACTTGGCGAGGGCACTGCCATGCCCCCAGACCACAAAACTGATTTTACATTTTCTGATCAATTAATTATAACAATATACCAAGTCTATTGACATAGTACATAGTATAGAGGGCACAGTACACTCTCCCCCACAAGAATATTAAAATTCAATAAACCCTTCTAATTCGCCACTTCATTTTTCGCCATTCCAATAACGGTAAATAGCACATAATGAAATTACCTACATTGCAATGTAAGTAAGAGAACCACTTTCTATCATTCTCTATTGACAGATAAGTCTCATTCTGGCCTCGTCCCTATTCAGTTGAAAACAAGAAGAAAGAAGATTCTGTAGCTATCCTCGTTCCCAAATTAGATACGACCCAAATATTTAAGGATAAAAAAAATGTCGAGGACATTTTAATAAATCTAATGAATGAACAATAAAAAAGTTTTCAATCAATACATTAAATAGGCCCCTTACTTACTTTTCAAGTTTTGCAATAAATGCCGTTGTTAAGGCACTCGGGTGACATTAATACTTTATGAAAAGCCGTCAATATCCGTTAATCCTTTTAACGCTTAGACAATAAAATTTCAATTTCGTCGATGACAAAAAAGAATTTTGTAATTGAAAACCAATTTCGTTGAAAACGTAATAACATAGGCACTGCAATGAATAAAAAGTTGACAGTCTTATATTGACTGTTTAGAATCAGAAGGACTATATGTTTTTCTATTTGACATGATAATTTCGTACACACTGACTGTCTTATTGGCCGAGTGGTCGCAAGTGCACCTGCCGGGCAAGGGGTTAGATTTCCGGGTCGAGTAAAGTATTACAGTGATTAAAAAAATCTCAGTAGTAGCACGGAGTCTGATATTGTGCCCGGTATATGGCTATAGGCTCACCCTCTATTACATGGGACTCATAACATAAATAGTGAAAAGTGGGTTTTACATTGTGCAGTAGCATTAAGTGCCATAATGTGCATCTCTGCCTACCCGGGCATAAAAGGCATGATATGTATGTATGTAATTTCATAGGCACAAATTATAGAACTACTCAAAAGGTACTCTGTTCTAGAAAATAACAACAATAAAAACATTAAATCACGTAGAAAACTTTTTACAATCGAACTAATATTTTTGTGTGTTGTGAGCAAACATAAACATTTACAAGGATTCACAAGGATCCATTGAAATCAGTACAACTCAACGCCTAGAGTGGTACCTAACAGACGTGAAGACATTTCGGAAAATTCATTGCTAAGGCTGTACCCGCCTGTTCCGTGTCTTATGACCAATCGCGGTCAGAGAAAATACCCTATGTCCACTCTACGCCATTCATTCTATAACATTTCTCATATAAAAGCCAAGATTCAATATTATAAGGGAAACTGGAGACACTTTGATCGTCATGAGACTAGGTATACCGAAGATTTACAGAATTTCTATTATCGCCATCTAGTGGTATAAAGAATATATGGAATACTATGTAAGTGCGAAAATTGGTAATCGTAGTAAGTTTGAATTTTAAAAAATAAAATGAATTATAATTGTGAAACGAATGTTACCAAATGTCAATTTTAAAAACCTATTCAGAATCTTAAAGAACATAATGAGGCATTGAATGATTAATTGTATGTGGACATTGTAGGTATATAAGTACTCGTATAATACGTTCATGGACGCGACGATTGGTCTCGTAATCCGCATCAATCATGCATTGTACGCCAGTTCACTGGTGAAGTTAGACGCAGTTAAGATAACGATCAGTTCTGTAAAGAAGGATAACTAATACAACGAATAAAACAAGAAAAGACGCAGAATCAAAATCAGACCGAAAAAGTTAAGTATTGTAATAAAAATAAAAACGTATATGTAACCAATTTATCGCGATAATAAACACTAGGTTTCCGTTTGCCATTTCAGAATCAAGTGGTAAATGTGCAACGTTCAATCAAAGTGTACAGGTTTCAAACACCTAGTTAAATACAGGATAAGTTAAAAACATCAAGAAAACAATGAGATCCGCATTGTGTTACACTTTTTTTGTTTTTGTTTTGTTATATATCACAACGCGAGTCACTGCGAACCCACTTTCAGATCAAACTATAAAACGAATTAATTCAAAACAAAAGACTTGGACAGCTGGCAGAAACTTCCCGGCACAGACATCGATGACATACATTAATCATCTTGCAGGAACCCTGAAAGATGATACCCAAAGAAATCTACAAATACTAAAGCATCGTATTGATCTGATAGATAATTTGCCAAATTCTTTCGATCCGAGAGACAAATGGTTGAAATGCACGTCTTTGAACGAAATCAGAGATCAGGGCGCTTGTTCTAGTTGCTGGGCTTTAGGTGCAGTGGCAGCGATGACTGATCGATACTGTATATTCTCAGAGGAGAAAAAACAGTTTCATTTCTCTGCCGAGGATTTGATTAGCTGTTGTGAAACTTGTGGACTGGGATGTGTTAAAGGACTTCATATAGCGGCTTGGATATACTGGACAAGGCTCGGACTTGTGTCAGGAGGCAATTACAACTCGAGTCAAGGCTGCAAACCCTACAATATACCACCAGGAGAAAATTACGTGACCGAAGAGTTGTCACCTTTAGGCCGTATAGTTGATATATCGCAATGTTTGACGTTCTGTGACCCCAGTTACAACGTCGCATATCGGGATGATAAACGATATGGTGAGAGAGTCTACCTTCTAGAACGTAATGAGAATCAGATAAGAATTGAACTATTTTGCAACGGACCCGTAGAGGGTGTAATGGAAGTTTTTACAGATTTCCTCAATTACAAACACGGGGTTTACAATTATACAGAAGGTGAGTCAATAGGTCACCATGGAGTTAAAATTATGGGCTGGGGAGAGGAGCACGGCCACAAATATTGGCTGGTAGCTAACTCTTGGGGCAAAGATTGGGGTGACGAAGGTTTCTTTAAAATTCTTCGCGGAGTAAACCATTGTGGTATTGAGGAGTCTATAGTCGCGGGTGAACCGATAATAACAGTTTGAGCTTGAAAAGCATTACAAATACAACCTTTAATCTCAATTAACACTTGACGAATTATCCTGGAGACACCAAAGAAATGCTTCGTCCTATTAATTATTAAGACAATACACTTTTAGAATCTCTAAAGCACTATACATTATACATAACATGATACATTATTATACGATATACCTACATATTATAATATTCCCATGTTTCTATAATATAAATCTGTAACAATACTGAGTCTTTTTTATATTATACCTTTTCTACTGACATTAGGTACATTATTTATCGCAGAGGTCTCAAAAATGTAAAGTGGCGGAAAATAGGAAAATTAAATTAAAACTAGGTTCGAACGACCTCTAAAATTTTATTAAAACAATGGAGCGTTATATGAGCACTTTGATACTGGTTTTCTCTTATGACTTGAGCTAGGTTAGCTATACATAATACATAGTTTGTACAATTGTACAAATATAATGTAATTCTTCGTCTAAAAGTGGAGCAACGTTTTAAAGAGACAACGTTTCAAAGTGGGTAAGTACGTCCAAACATGGGTCAAAAGCTTTTGAGAAATATTTTTTCGAATACTAGACTAAATACTATGTAAAGATTTTAAAAAAATTTGCAATCCGTACAAATCTTAAAAGCTCAATGATAAGATTTGTCTCTTAAAATTACAAGAGCTTATCCGCAAACTATAAAATTGAAGATAACTTTTTTATAACATAAAATGGCCGTTAGATAAAGGAAACAATGCCGGGTTGTCAACGTGAACACTAAAAATTTAGGATTATCACCGGAACGAAGTAAAGAGATAAAATTTGAGGCACTTGTGATCGCCCTTTTACGAACGGTTAAAAGTGTATTTCTGGGCCTGGGGTCTTATTAGCACCATAATCGGAGACGTTATCGATTTTAACGCGAAGTAAAGAGGCCTTCGAGTAAATTGTGCTATTGCTTCAGATGTCAAAAGCCCTTAATAAACAATTTTCTAATAGTAATAAAATAAATATGTAGTGGGTTACATTTGGCAGGGTTATACCAGACCATTTGCTTATCACTACACACGTTACGAAACCGTAAACATTAGATATATATAAGTTATGTTAGAGATAGTCCTTACTTAGTCTTTGCTAAGGTAAGCTACCGATCTGCAATATAGAAGCACTCAAATAGAATATTTAAAAGCCCGTCCGGAGTTTCAAGCCCTTATTTATCGAAGGTCGATAGTGAAAAAGTACAGCAATGGCACAGGTGTTTAAGCGGCTCAGTAGCTATATCGCTGAACGATCAATTTGCAAAATTAATCAACGTCACTCAGGCAGACTGTATCAATTTAGGTACACATTTTTGTTTATCACTTTTTGTCTATTGTCTACCCATTACTTTCGCTGCACGTTTAACTTGGTACTTTAATATATCGACTTCTATTTCGGATAAAAGTAATAGATTCTGATGTTAAGTATTATTATCATCAGCAGCTTAGGCTTTGACATTGATCTCCCGTACTTCGGAAAGTCGTACATCTCATGTTGTCATCATGTTGTCAAAAATTCCACAATCCACTATCTATTACGACCCTATCGGCTTTCATCCCAATTATGAATCTGTTCATTTTTTTATGGGATAAACCGGTAAACGAGCAGACGGATCACTTGATAGTAAGCAATCGGCGTCGCCCATGGACACCTGGAACACCAGCGGCGTTACAAGTGCGTTACCGGCCTTTTGGGATTAGGAATTTGAGGATTGTTGGGGATTCATGGATTGGGGAAAGGGGGGGAGGGTAATTCGACATCCGGTAAAGTCACTCACACGACGAAACACAACACAACGTTGTTTCATGTCGGTCTTTTGTGAGGACGTGGTATCACTCCGGTCGAGCTGGCCCATTCATGCCGAAGCATGGCTCTCCCACACTTCATACGAGTACTCCTGGCCTTTTTCGACAAATATTTATAGACCTTTGTAAAGATAATTAACATCATGTTAACGTATTAATTACCATGTCTCGTTTTGTAATTACTGGTCATTTGTTAGTCTTCAGCTAATACTATTTACAGGTCATATAACACTCGTTAGCTTTCGATTTAACAATAGATTAAATTAATCAGACTTCCAGCTCAGACTGATTAGTATCAGGGATTAATTGGTGCTTAGTATGTTTGTTTATTCGATAACAACCTATCCGATACTTTAGCAATTTAATTAACTTAACCAGTAAGGCCTTCGCCGGGGTTTGTTTTTTGACATAACATAACATTACGCGTTTACCCCCGATGGGGTAGACAAAGGTGATCATTACGACACTTAATGCCACTATATAATGTAACACCCACTTTTCACAATTTATGTTATGAGTCCCATGTAATAGGGGGTGAGCCTATTGCCATATACCGAGCACAATTCCAGGCTCCGTCCTAGTACTGGGTTTTTTTTTTTAAACCCAGTAATATTTTACCCGACCCTAGAATCGAACCCAAGACCCCTTGCCTGGCGTATTGTTTTTTGATACGGCAACTTATACCCACGTGTGAAAATATGCTGCTAGACCACCACGTAAGAAGGTTTTCCATACGATTAGCAGGTGGTTATGATCGGGTTTTTATTAAAGACTCGATTCGACTAATCACCTGATCAGTCGATTAATTTAACGATTCAAAACAATAGTTTTCACCTCAATATTATTGAATTGAACAAACAATACTTATTCATTCTGTGAATAGACTGTAGTGAATCATTTGAACGCATGTTTTGTCATTGTGTGCATACAGACAGTCATACAATATCAAAACTAGGCTATCATAATATCTATATCTCTCAATACTCTCTGCGGTTCCGTAGAAAATATAAGTAACCCTTTTAATTCTATCAGTAATGTAAGGTAGAATAGAATAGAATAATCTTTATTGTACACCATTAATAATATAGCACCTACATACAAGGGGTTACGCTAGCATTTTGTTTTAAATAATTAAACTTTTATAAAATAATATACTCCATCCAATTTTATGAAATGCATGCATGAAGTAAGTAGGGTGTTCCTTGTCTATGGTCCACAGATAATGTTAGATATTAAGTATTCTATAATTTCAGTAAAGAATAAGTCTGTGGACCATGGACAAGACTTCACTTCATTTTATATTTTTAGCTTTTATTTTATTTTATTTTATTTTTATGTTATGTGTGTTTTGCGCAGGAATAAATGGTTTTTCTTTCTTCTTTTCTTTCTATACAGAAAAAGGAATATTGATAAACATAAGTAAAAAAAAATTATGGGCACAAAAGCGGTCTTATCACTTATAGTGATTACAGGAAGGTAGGAACTGAAAACACATGTTTAAGGCTATTTATCACAGTACTTTTTCCAGTACTTTTTCAGTTCTTGTACCAATTTAATCAGTTCGTAAAAATCCAATAAACAAGATTATATTGCCAGAATTATAGCAATAATAAGGAAAGTCCGCTTGCGTTTACTAAACAAATTATTTATTGGTATGGCTTCTTATCAGCATCCAATGTACCCAATTTATTTAAACAGTTATGAAGTTTATACCTATTTTTCGCCGACTTGTTATAATACCCATAACGTCGACAATACAGTATAATTAACTTATTAGTTTAGTTAACTTGGACGTTTGTCATAAACATGCCACAGCTTGGATTTATCTCATCAAGTGCTAAACAATTGTACTACAAACAAGTTAGTCCATAACAATCTATCCAGGATGTTTAATTTACAACACATGCTAGACCCTGTGAAAGGTCCCCGAACCATCCTGATAACCCTGACATAGGAGCAAACACTCGCGCCCTCGGATCCCCAATTAATTACTTCCGACCGATACAAAACAAATGTTTACTAATGCTTGTAAAGCGTTCGCCCATAATATTTGTTTGTCTCGTGTTATCTCTGGGTATACATGTATTGTTAACCTTCGACACGGCCGGTCAAGCGCTGTCTCGCCCCTGTTGACCGTGTCGTGCGCTCCGATGCAATTACACGGCGTGCGAGCACGGGTATCAACTACACCCACCGCGGCCGGCCGCCGTTCAGTCGTCGCGCCACATTCGCTCCGTATACACATCCATTAATCGCTCGGCTGTGAAAAAGAAAATAAAGAAGTGAATAATGGTCGCTTCGCGTGCAACGTTTGTTGCGCTCGTGTGCGCACTCGCGCTCGCCTCCGCCAATGTGGAAGATATGCAGAATCCACTCACAGACGAATTCATCAATCTCATCAATACGAAACAAAACTCGTGGAAAGCTGGCAGGAACTTCCCAGTGAACACACCGCTCACACATATCAAGAAATTAACGGGTGTGTTAGTCGACACCCACTTGTCAAAACTTCCCAAAGTTGAACATGAAGTTGAATTGATTGCGAGTCTTCCAGAGAACTTCGATCCACGAGACAAATGGCCAAACTGTCCCACACTAAATGAGGTGAGGGACCAAGGATCTTGCGGCAGCTGCTGGGCGTTTGGCGCTGTGGAAGCAATGACCGACCGGTATTGTACATACTCGAATGGAACCAAACATTTCCACTTCTCGGCAGAAGATCTTCTCAGCTGTTGCCCAGTCTGTGGTCTCGGATGCAATGGAGGTATGCCGACGTTAGCTTGGGAGTACTGGAAGCACTTTGGTCTCGTGTCAGGAGGCAGCTACAACTCGACCCAGGGCTGCAGGCCGTACGAGATCCCTCCCTGCGAACATCATGTACCCGGTAACAGGATGCCTTGCAATGGTGACTCTAAAACACCAAAGTGTCACAAGACTTGCGAGTCAAGCTACAATGTGGACTACCACAAGGACAAGCGCTACGGCAAGCACGTTTACTCAGTGTCAAGCAAGGAGGACCACATCAAAGCCGAGCTGTATAAGAACGGGCCCGTCGAAGGTGCGTTTACTGTGTACTCGGACTTACTGAATTACAAAAACGGTGTTTACAAACACACGGTCGGCAACGCACTCGGTGGTCATGCCATTAAGATTTTAGGTTGGGGAGTAGAGAACGGTAACAAATATTGGTTGATTGCGAATTCATGGAACAGCGATTGGGGTGACAATGGGTTCTTTAAAATTCTGCGAGGTGAGGACCATTGCGGCATCGAGAGCTCTATTGTAGCCGGTGAGCCGCTGTTTGTTGAAGTTTAGTGCGTAATTAGGACAATTAATGAGTTATTGTCTTATGTGTAAATAGCTGCAGTCTTATTTACTTCCTACAGTACCAAATATGTTTATAAATAGTTTATTATTATGAATAGTAGCAACGATATTAATTGTAAAACAAATTTATATTTTGTATAAAAAATAAAGTGATTGTTTTATAAATTGTTGTTTGCATCATTTTCCTGAGAGTGAGTAAACATAATTATGATAATTGACGGCTATCTTAGTGTAGGAGATAAATGTTTATGTGTATGTGTTAGTGATTAGCGGAAAATAACGTTGTCACTTACAGAATTATCAGTGTTTTTACAAACATTTAAAGTTCAAAGTTCATTGGCTCAATACGCAGTCGTTGTGGACAATGACATTGTTAGTAATTTCACTTAGTTAGCTTATAATACAAAAAAGCGTATTAACTAAAGAAAACAGTGTAATTAGACATAATAAACAAATGACGTGTTTACATAAAGATTAGATAATCTTTTAGTATATGCAAATGTTTGAAAATCTATAATTAATTAATGATTTGTGGTAGGTGCCTATACTTAGGCCTACACTTGGTAGTGCCTATACTTCTATAGTATATCTTAATACCTATATTTTTAGCTGATAAGCTTTAATTTAAATTTATATAAATTTATATTAATTTTAATTAAAATTTTTATGATTTATATTGTTAATAAATTTTAATTTATTATAAATAATTTTATTTAAAATAAGCTAAAAGGTACGGTATTGTGTTACGTCATATTTAGAGCTCATCCTTAACTGTTTATTTGTTACGCTTTCATGCCTAAATCACTGGACCGAGGTCAACATACTGTATCTAGTACAAAAATAACGGAGGCTAGATAATTATGATTAGAATAAAAAATATAATTATCTTTCATAATTTAATGCTAGTTATCATTTTTTTTTAAAAAGATATACATATTTAATCTATATAAATAAAAATGAATTTCCTTTCGTTAGTGTAGCTAAACTCGAGAACGGCTGAACCGATTTGGCTATTTTTGGTCTTGTGGATATCCAGGGAAGGTTTAAAAGCTGAGAAGGGAAGGTTTAGAAGCTGTTAAAGTGGTACGAAGTTACTGTTTCAGCTCGTTTAACAATAAATATACAAACAGTAAACAAAACACTGTGATATTTCGTGACATGATGACTTTGCGTACATATTTTTTTTAAGGGGGGAAAATCATCAATGACTGCTCCCGCATGGGTGAGGCGGGAGGGAGTGTCAGACTCTTACTGACTAAAAACCACCCCGTTCTTTCTTGCACGTCGAGCCGGAGCCCCGGTGACCCGTTAGGTTCTCCGCGACTCACTTTGCTTACGTATAGATATCGCTGTTAAATTACCCTACAGTGAGAGCTAGATCAAGTAAACCATTTTCATCTCTAAGATACCTATGTAAGTAAGGAATGGACAACTTTCACTGAACGTGCAGCAGCTACGAGTAACGACTGTAGGAAATACTATCATCGTGCATCGTTGAAACATTCTCGAGAAAGGGAAAGGTTTGATACCTTGACCTGTTAGTGTTAAGTGAATTGTATACTATCCTTTGAACATTATACAAATGTGAAAGTATAGTATGAGAATGCATCTTACGTATTGTATGTTTGTTATTGTTTCATGAAAAAAATACGTATTAGCATAAAATTTGACAAAGAGAAAGATTAAATATACCTAAGGCTTTAGACTTTAGTCTCTAATAACGCGAGAACTAATTTATCTTTACAGAAGCTATAAAATAATTATTATTATTTTCCACTTTGGCCTATTATATTATTAGATATTTTTGGGGTTTCCGAAAGGCTCAATCGTACCACAGCACAAGGAACTTAAGCCCAATCCCCCGGTTTCGTGGAAAATTACTCCAAAATAAATGGTAATTTGTATTTTGTTGTGTAAAATTTAATTACAAAATGACTTTATTATTTATTTTTAATCTCTGGATGACTTATCTTTCACAAATAGTCAATTAGCTATTACACATAATTAGCAGTAGTAATATTGTTATTTTATCATTCCATTTGCCAATATAAACAGGGTAATATAACTAATATAACAGGGTATGCTTATCAGCTAGAAAAACCACAAGCCAGGAAAACAATAACTTGATCAAATTGAACAAAACAACATGTTTTGTAAGTCTAATGGAGTAACGGAAGTATTAGTACTAGCTTCCTGCGTTATGACTATTATCCTTTGCAGAATGACATCAGCATATTTTTGTTTACGTTCCTGGTGAGGGCAGAATAGTATATATATGTAAGTATTTTTTTAATACGTTTCCCCACACTAGGATTGTGTCCTGTGTCGTGAGTGCGTTTTACAAAGATACAAGTTCACATACACATGACACTCAGACCCGGAACAACAATCTATGGATCACACATAGTGTTCCGTGCCAACCGTGCAGTAATTTTTTATATTATAACCACATTATACTGTGTTATAACTTTCGTTTTATCATCACGCCTTTTATCCTCGAAGGGGTAGGTAGAGGTGTAGGTACATTATGCCACTGTACAATGTAATCACTTTTCACTATTTATGTCACGAGTCCCATGTAATAGGGGGTGAGCCTTATACCGGGCACGATCAAGAAAAATATCAGAACAATTTATCAAAATCCGATTAAAATTTCGTTGGCATAATTCGAAACTTCGTCTCGCTAATTGATAACCCGATTAATTAATCGTAATCGTTGATTCCGAAACTTTTAGTAAGTAATCAAGAACAGTCGAGTGGGCAACAATATTTGATATCTATCGATTTAGCTGTTAAAGTTTTTATTTTTGTTTTCAGTACAGAATTCTTCTTTCATTGTCTTATTCTCGAAAACAAATTTGTAACTACGTAGGTATAGATATTAGATAGGTATTTTAGTCTTTAATTCTTCAAAGAGGTGAAACATAGTACCAAATATGGTTCGCGGTGTATTGAATGAACAACAAATATTTTACGAGTAGTGGGGAGTATTTGCTTTGCCCCGAGTATTCACTATGCCCGGCCTTCCCCTATACAGAGCCTAGATTTTGAATATACAACCTACTTTTATACACTATAGAGTCTAGATTTTGTAATCGATACGTCAATAACATTTAACACAACTCGATATATTCAATCTAATCGAGCATAAGTTTCTTAGTACATAATTCAATCATTCTCTGCCCGACCTAGAACTCGAACCGGTGCCTTTCGCCAAACGCCACTTTAGCGCTTTTAAATGTGTGGGGATGACACTGACAAGTGTCAAAATTTACGTCAATTTCATATAATTTAGTTTTCTACAAGTAGACAAGCGCTAAATGGCATTTGGCTACAGCTGCTGAAATCATTGCTTGTTAGTGGCGCTTGCGACCACTCGCCCGAAAAGGCAATATTATAATATCATTTCACTATTATGTGGTATTTGATCTATTATTTGTTGTTTAAGTATTGTTCTGTTAAATATTATTATCAATACTTGTTTTTACAATTAAATACTTAAATATGTAATGTAATTAATACAGTTGATATAGGACAGAGACAAACAATCTCCCGCCCACAGCCATCTGGTACGATCACGCGACATTACGTACATACAACACATGATAGTAGTATAGTTGCCGATCTATCTTCCACTATATATCAATTTTATTCAATTAATTGTCGACTAAAAGTACAAAGTTGAAAATCTATTTCCAGTTTCACTGTTCACAGAATTCCATAAGTATATTATGATACTAACTGCCGCCAGCGACTTCACTCGCGTCTCCGTGGGATAAAAAATAACCTATGTGTTATTCTATTCCAAATTCAACCCCGATGCCTTCAGTCGTTTTGATATGATTAAGTAACAAACACACACACACACACACACACAAACTTTCGCATTTATAATATTAAGTAAGATTTATTTCTTGTTTGTGCCATTTAAATAATATTTTACCGATAAGTTTATTATTTAATTCTGTACCTATTATAAGTAGTTATGTAGCGACATAGCAAACTCGCTTCGTTGGTATTAGCAATTAACTGTTAATTGCAGACACAAAACAAAACAATGCTGTGAATTCTACTTACCTATCGTCAGAATATGAATTGCGAAAACAATCCTTAATACCTCGAAGTACGCAATGTCTTATAATCTTGCGAATCGTTATGGGTTCATTACTTTACAATGATGGTGATTCAATAGATTTTATACACCGAGACTTACTTATTAGCCGACTTACCTACAACGGCCGTCTTCGTCGTGAAGGTGGGCCACGCACGTCTCCCTAGGGATGTGCCGTATCAGGCGTTGTAACCGTGGGTTGTCCGGAGTAGGTCTCGTCAGAGGACCCGGTACCCCTTACAGGTGCTGAGGGTGGCCACCGGGGTGGTTTTAGTGAGGTAAGAATCCCACATTCCTTAGTCTTTCTCCCCAAAAAGCTAGGCGTCTTTTGAAGGTTTCCCCCAACATAAAAAAGGGCATGTGCTTATTCAATGACTTTGTAATGGTATAAAAAAATAAGTTATTACGAGAAAATAACTATTTTTTATTGGATAACCGGTAAACGTGGCAACGGATCACCAACAGATGGTAAGGATCACCTGATGGTAAGCAATCGGCGCCACCCATGGACAATCCGAAACACCAGAGGCGTTACAAGTGCGTTGAGGATGGAGTATTGGCTATTATTATACATGAATATATTACCTACAATAGAAAGAAACACGCCTTGTAGATACATGCATCTATCAATGGAGTTGCACCATGATGCAAGAGACTGTACCTATTACCTTTACTGATTCTGGTCTTCCAAGAGTATCTGCTTGTGTCCTACTATTGACTATTCACAGTTTCTATAAACAACACATTGCTCGATTATAAAAGACTGCTGGCAATTGCCTTTATGCCTACCTATTTAATCAACTGAGTTTTTCTGCAGTGTAAAAACAATGTTGGACCAATTAGCCTCGACGCCATAATTATTAGCCTCGAGGAAGCT